TGACCCAGTTTATGGAGGGTGGGTTGGTTAATTTATTAAATAAATGTGTATTTGATTTTCTCAGTGCTTTTGACCTGCGGATCAGATTTTATATGAGTTAAAACGTCGGGGAAATTGGTTATCACACATGGAAGTTTTTACAAGGAAGTTGTAAACTGTTACAAAATCTCAGTATATGCAATTCAATCATACTAGCATATATTCAAAAACGGGTCAAGTTATCAGATGCTTTAAATGTTATCAATTTAAATTGATATTATTAATAATTTGTTGTACAGTAGGCCTACACTAACATTCAAAAATAATAAGATAATATTTTTTAAAGAAATTCATAGGATTTTTATTCAGCGAGGATATATTAAATGATCAAAAGTGACAGTAAAGATATTTATGATATTCTAAATAATAGTTCTGTAATTTTCTATTTCAAATACAGGCTGTACATTTGAATTTTCTCGAAGAACCCTACGAAGAAATCACGATTTCCAAAAAACATGAAGCAGCACAACTGTTTTCAACAGTGATAATAATAAGAAATGTTTATTGAGAATGCAAATCAGCATATTAGAATAATTTCTGAAGGATCATGTGACACTGAAGACTAAAGTAATGCCGCTCAAAATTCAGCTTTGCATCACAGGAATAAATTACATTTTAAAATATATTCAAATAGAGAAGAGTTATTTAAAATTCAAATTATATTTTATTACTATTTTATTGTATTTTTTATCAAATAAATGCAGCCTTGGTGAGTGTAAAAGACTTATTTCAAAAACAATATTAATCATACTGACTTTTTTCATGTTTCATAAATTGTTTACCCTTCGAATTTTGATGAGAGGCCACAAACTACTCAAAGAACTGTATTTTTTTCCCTGGGCAATATTGGTGGAAATATTCAATAGTTAACACTTAAAGCTATGTGTAAAAATAACTTTCACAAATAAACCTACCTAAAGAAATATCCACTTGAGTAAGAAGTGTGACAACTAACCCTGTATAAAAATAAAAATGCCCACCCACAAAATTCAGCTGAGCAATGGATCACACACACAAAAATAAATAAAAGCTGAAATAAGAAAATAGTTGCTCATGTGTGTCATTTGAAAACACAGTGGGCCAGATGAAGGGTTTTATTTACTTAAGGCCTTTTATGGCTTGTATCAGCATCACCTGGGGCATTGGGTGATGTCATCAGGCCTTTTTCTGGGTGACTCTTAAAGGCATTAGTTAGAATAATAAATGTAAGTGCATGTTATGGGTTCAGGTTACTGGGTTGTTTCCTCATGTTGGGTCTGGACAGGAACAGGGCCAGAACAGGAAACAAATGATTAGTGTTTTTGTCAGATATTTTACACGCACTCTGACCTTGCACAGGAAATTAGTCTTTAGTGATAGAATTGTATGTGTGAAAAAGCTAAAATTGATGCAATCATAATTCTGCAGTATTGGGTGCAATAAAACGCTATCGCATACTATTTATTGCTAGAGATTCAATGTCGTTTTTCTTTTTAAAAAGCTGTCCAGAAACACAAATTCATTTACAGAATGAGTGAAATAATGCTGTTTATTAGAAATTTGTGGTGCACAAGAGAATAAAAGAATGATTCCAACAAATGATTTTAGTTTTATGGCAGAGCATATGCCCTTGGGGACTGCTGTTGTTGACAACAGCATTTTCATAAGTATTTTCCCAACGCTTAGAGCAATGATACATTTTGATATGATTCCGATTACTCATGGCTTCCATGCAACTGGAATCTCCTTCATCTAGAGAGAGAGAGAGCAAAAAACAGGGAAAATATCTCAACAGTCCACTGCTTTCCAAACAAATTAAAGTACATTTCTGCCGAGGAATGACACACATTTCAGCAGGGCTGCTGAGAGCAACACATTCTGTTTTTCTTGTCTGTTATATTAAAAACAAACAGTCCAAAGCTGAATCAAAATTCACATCTGTGATTGTTTTCTATAATGTTTCAGCTCTTTCCAGTTCTAACAGGATTTTTTTCTCTCTCTCAGTTACGTATGTTGCATATAAGTATTAACTTCCAACTGAATTTTACACTAGTGATGTTAAAGTACCAACGACTTTAAGTCCTTTTTTACACAATGATTACAATGGCAGTTTAGTGATAAATAAAAACTTATTCCATTCTGTTTCTTGCACAATACTATGTTATGACCTCAAAACATGTTTGCGTCACATAACCAGCTCCATATCTACAGTATGGCTTTTCTGATATGTGACCCTGGACCACAAAACCAGTCATAAGTAGCACAGGTTTATGTGCCCAGAAAAGCACTATATAAATGTAAGGAATTATTATTATTATTATTAAAATTAGTTCTGCTTTTAAAAAACATGTCTGGAGATAAATCAAATTGACAAATTAAAGCACACTTGTTGAACCCACTTCTGATGCTCTAGGAGGCTTTATCAATTAGTCTGAGAAACTGTTGAGATATTAAGGAGATTTTATTTGTGATTTTTTTTTTTCCTGGTACAGTTGTGTTTGATATAACTTTTTGAATTTGTGTCTTTTGTTTGGGTATTTGCTGGTATGTGTCAGTCAAAATATATTTGTATATTTTAGACACAGAGAGTCTACTGTATTCAGTGTAAGTGAAGTTTTTAAAATATAAAATACTTAAAGTAACACATTATTATAGTTTAATAATAAAACAATACGTTTTTGTACAAGTCACCCCCGGACCCATATGAAAATAATGCAGCATTTATGTCACTTTATTGCTTGCAACTTGCTTAGTGTCACACCTTTGGACTGTTTTGTTGTGTTTTAATCCCTCATGTGTTCAGTGTGTGACCTAGTTTCTGTCTCCCCTTTGATTTCATCATTTGATTCACTTGTGTCTCATTACTTATCCTCATGTGCCTCCCTATTTAAGTTCTAGTCTGTCCTGTGTTCCCTTCTCCGGTATTGTAGATGTCTATTGTGGATTACGTGTGTGCCTGCCTTCTGTGGATTTACCCTCTGTGTGGGTTTATTAAAAGACTGTTTGCCTTCATTCATCTTCTTCGTGTGCTAATTTCACACCGTATCGTGACACTTAGATTGTACACCTATAGACCACATTATTTAGAGCAGATTCTCCTTATTTAAAAGTCCAATCTCTCTATAATCCGTCATTAATATCTAAAGATATTCCTCATGAATTTATAACACACATAAAACTGTAGGCGACATGTAGTTTAGCAAAAAAAATCTAAGGTAGCTTTCATGTGCCGTTTTTGCTTGTAACTTCATGAAACATGCATATAACATAGAAGATGGCGCAGCATTATTTTCAGAAAATTCTCTTGGTTAAAAAGAGCCCAAACTCACCATAATCCATCATCTAAATATATTCCTCACAGCAGTGTTAATTTCGTTGACGAATGAATTTCGTCAACGACATTTTTTTCACAGACGACAACGAACTAAAACTGTTTTTGAATGACAAAAACTATTACGTAAATATATTGATATTTTCGTCAATGAATAAAAACGAGATGAAAATGTTAGGGAGGGACAATTTGGGAAGACATTCATTCAGAACGAATCTGCTGCGTGGTTTGGACTCGGAGGTTAGATGCGTACATATGAACCGGCAGGACATAAGCTAACATACACTTGCTGCACGTCGCATAAAACGTTCAAAAATGTCAATATGTGGGAGTAAGAGAAGAGCAGACATATGGATAAATCTGACGACGCAAGAGAGAATTCAATTCGGTCCGGTTTTCTGAGCGCAGACACTGAAGCACACACACACAGAAAGTGTGTCTCACAGCGCGCGAGTACTCTTTCGCGTCTCATGAACGGAGAATTACACACAAAATGATGTTGAATTGTCCGTTTTGACGAGTATTCACGTAAACACAGTTGATTACGTCTTAAAGGCACAATATGTAAGATTTTTTTATTAAAATATCCAAAAACCACTAGAACAGTGTTATATATACTGTGCCTTTAAGTGAACATAAACAGTAGGGAGAACGGTGTATCAGTACATTGCATCCAGTGCATCCGGTTTTAAAGGAATAGCAGCCTAATTTAGTTGCTATTGTCCGAGTCATTGATGTTAATCAAGCCACAAAAGAAAGACAGAAAATCACGCACTGATCTTGACTGAAAAGCTTTAGTAGCCCTAAAGGTTCATCTAAATTTATTTATAGAAATAAATATGTCTGCTTGAAAGAATGAAGAATATGGTAAACAAGTTGCTATAAAGAATGCATAATTAGCCTATATAACCATTGGTATTTCATTAAAAAGAAAACCATGTTCTTGTTCTTTGTGAGAAGTGGTTTTATTTCATTTTAACATAAGGCATGTTGTGCGTTACAGCAGTTAAATCAGTGTCTATCATGATAAAACCTTAATATCAAACCTATATAATGAGTTTGGAAATTTTAGAGAAATGCTTAATAAATGCATTACACTGTAACTAAACCCATTAGATTTTAGCCGACTAAATTTACTGTAGATTTAGTCGACTAAAATCTTATGATATTTAGTCAAGTAAAACTAGACTAAAACTAAAAACAATTCAGATGACTAAAATATGACAAACTAAATGGCATTTTAGTCAAAAGACTATGACTAAAACTAAATCAAAATTTGCTGTAAAAATTAACACTGCCTCACAGAGCTATAACACATAAAACCAGACTGGCCACAAGTGAGGCGCAGCAAAAAAAACAAAACAAAAAAACAACAACAACTGTACCTTTCACGTGGCGTTTTAGTTTGTAACTTCATGAAACATGCATAGATTGTGGAAAATTGCATGACATTATTTTCAGAAAATTAAAAAGTCCAAGCTCACAATAATCCTAAAGATATTCCTTATGTTGTTATAACACACATAAAACCGCTATAAAAAAAAAACAATCTAAAATGATACTACTGATTCTAACATGATATTACTGAAGTTAACAGGCATTTTAAAAGATGAAATATTTTTGCTAAGCAGAGATATTAAGCATCTGAGAAAAAGTGTCGGTATTGAATCCGTCTCGCCATATATTCCACTTTACAGTTCTTCAGCCAATTAACACTTCTGATCATCCCCTGAAAAACAATAGGTCAATCAACCTTTCATCAAGCAACATCACATATTGATATCTGTCCTTTATACATCATTCTAATATGATGATTTGGTGCTCAAGAATTTTTTATTTATTTTTTATTTTGTAACGTAAATGTCTTTATGGATTCGGGTATTAGTACAATTATTAAAATATACTAATAGAGTTTTAGATCAAATTTAAAACTTAAAAACAAATACTGTACTTACAGTGGTTTTTATACACATGGGGACGTGTAGTCAATCATAGACAATTCACCTGGAGGAACAGAAACACAACCTAGTTTTTTTGTGCACTACATTCTTGAGCTTGTCTCAATAAAATGAAAATGCATTATGGTTAAGATTAAATACAGGCTCGTAAAGCACTATTACGCAATGCTTGTATCATGATGTCACTAAGATTTATGAAAAATGAAAGTCTTAAACATTAAAATGGAAATAGGTTTTCCCAGTTTTGCTATGATTTATTTATTTGATTTTTATGTATTATATTTTGCTGGGTTTTCTTGTATTTTCTTTCAGACTTTTCAGAGTGCACAGTGATGAACAAACACGTACTGATCTTGTAGTAGTCATAGACGATCACTACAGCTGGTTTCAAGTTCTGCACCGGTACTTCCTGCACAAGCTTCAGGCTGATGGACTTCTCCTCATTCTTTTTCAACTGGAATGAAAGAGAAATTTATTGCATCATGATTACGGAGAGATTTATTTTCTTTTGGGCATGGACATAAAAGAATGTGTTAAAGGGATAGTCCACCCAAAAACTACAACTGGTTTCTTCATAGGAACAGTTTTAGAGAAATTTAGCATGACATCACTTGCTCACAAACGGATCTTCTACAGTGAGTCACAATGGGTGCCGTCAGAATGAGAGTCCAAAAAGCTGATGAAAACATCACAATAATCCACAAGTAATTAACACAACTCCAAATTAATGATGGATTTATTACAAACATGCAGCTTTTCACAACTCGAGATGTTAACTGGTGAACTGGAGTCGTGTGCATTACTTGTGTATTATTGTGATGTTTTCATCAGCTTTTTGGACTCTCATTCTGACGGCACCCATTCACTGCAGAGCAAGTGATGCAATGCTACATTTCTCCAACTCTGTTCTGATGAAGAAATTAACTCATTAATATCTTGATTGGACTGAGAGTGAGTACATTTTCAGCCCATTTTTATTTTTGGGTGAACAATTCCTTTAAGTAATCAGGGTCAGTGTATCCCTTATATTGTCAAAATGTCTGCAATCCCAAAAAGATAATGTTTTAATAAAACATTTACACTATCCAAATAGAAAAAGACACGATCCTCGTCCAGATCCACACGTTTGATGGTGGGGACTTCCCTCAGCTGTGGAGACAGAGGAGCGAATGAGAACGAATCAAATGCTGGCTGCACAACTTGATCAAAAGAGAACCAGAGCCCTTCAAGTGTCACTCACAGCCTGCAGAGACGTCTCATCCGGCTTAAACCCAGACAGGAGCCTGATGTTAATGATCACCATGTTGGTCTCCTCTCGTGTGCCGCTATACCTGTCATCCAATAATTCCAACAATCACAAACAGGGTTGGCAATCACACATTGTTCTGTATGTAGTCTGACAGACAGCGAAGAGTCTATTAGGCCATAAAGTAGGCTAAATCTTTCTTCATTCTTTCCTTATAGAGTCAAGTTGATATGTTACATGGATATGGAAACTGGGTCATTCGATGCAATTAGTACATTCATATTTTGTGGGAGAAAGAAAAAGGTAAATACCAGTTATTATTGTATAGGTGAAACTTTTAAATGTTGGAGAAGAATTTGCAAAGTGATGAAAATTAGTGATCAGGAGATGGTTTGTTTAAGAGAAATAGCAAGAGATCCAGATTTTAAACCAAATACTTTTGATGATGTATTTAAGATTTGGGCTAGCAAAGGACTTCAAAGATTTCATCAAATTTATGGAGACAATGAGATGGAGACATTTGAGAATATGGAGATAAAATATGTATTGTCTGGGAAATAATTTTTTTTAAATATCTTCAAATAAGAAGTTATCTAAAGGATGAGATTAAAATAAAAACTTTAGATGATATTCACCCTCTGTTGCGTTTTATGATTAAAGTTAGTAAAATTAATAGACTAGATAATTTGATGGGACGAATAAATAATATATTCAAAGAAATTAAGGATGGGGGTTTATATAATATTAAGAAAAAATGGGAAATTGAATTAGACAATAAAAAACAAATATATGCATGCATGTGTTTGTATTTATACAAACATAATAAATATACACAGTACACACACATATATTATGTAAACAAAAACTTTAATTTTGGATGCGATTAATCATTTGACACCACTAATTATTTTTTTTACTTACTTAATTATTCATACTAATTATGATTTTTATGTAGTTGTTTTTTTTACATCCAATTAAAAATTGATGATCCTTTTTGCTAGTTTGTCGTATTTAAATGACTATTTTAAGCTTATGTTTGGTCACAATTTTCTTTTTCTTTTTTGTTTGGTATGGAAAAGAGCTGTGTGAAGATTCTTTAAAATATTTATTTTTTTGTTTCAGAAGAGAAACAAAGTCATACATGTTTGCAAGGACATGATAATGTCCCTTTAAATAATGGCAGCATGTATACAGTAGTAAGTATTTAAATGAATGATAAATAATGATATCAATTAAATTACATTTGTGCAAAAAATCACATGTTGAAAGTATTGTATACATACTTTCCATGAATGAAGACAGTAATTGTAATTAGTTTTTTTTAAACAGAGGTGTGGCTCACCTTACAGTGGTGGTTAATGTAAAAGCTGGGTTCTCTGTATTGCTGCAAACCCCAGTATTTGCTTTGATTTTGAAGGCCAAATAGTCTGGAAGGGGTGGGATATTGTAGTGCAAGGCAAACTGAGAGACAAAAAACACACAATAATGTCAAAGACGAGGTCATTTATATCACTTTTATACACATCATACAGTACTCATCCTTATGCAATTCCAAATCCTTGTGACTTCCTTCTCTGATCCATTGAAGAAAGAGAATCACACAAGTTTGGACTGACATGAGGGTGAGTACATGATGAAAACCTTCATTCCTAGATGAACTATTCCTTGAACTCAATATGTGCATCAAAGGAGGCAGTGCACAGACCTGCACAAACACACAGCCTTTGCCTTCTGCCCTGAGCTTGTATGTGCCAGTAGCTTCCTGCAGCTGTTTCTCCTGGTAAAGCAGCCGGTTGTTCCGGTTCACGGTGAACTGGTACCTCTGGCCTGAGGGGGAGGTCACGGTTACGCTAATGAATCCTTCTGCATTGTAGGTGGCAGCACTGTACTTAGCAAGGGCCTGGAGTGCTACGACAGTATCCTGTTCACAGAAAGAGAGGGAGCGACACCACTTAGAGTCAATAATGATCAAACGCATTATAAAGACTTAGAGGGTCTAATGAGATAAATAACATTACCTGTGTAGAGGAGAAGCCTCCATACGCATTCTGCTGCTTGCTTAGCCAGTGCACGATGCCAGCAGCGTAGTTCAGTCCAAATCCAGGCAGTGAGGGTCCAGAGAGCAGCGCCAGCAACACATAGGCACTCATCTCTACCTCCACAGACCCCATCGGTTGTGCATTATCAGCCAGAGTCCAATATCGTCCAACACCTGAAATAACCAGGGCAAGAAAACTGGAACATTGAAGGATGGTGATTGTTTTTTTTATTAAAAGCAGCAGGATAATCTAGATCAGGGGTTTTCAAACTGGGGTCCAGAGAAATTGGTACTGGGGGTACACAAAAAAAATGAAAAGAGAAAATTTAAACCAACAGCAAGTTGTTAAAAAGTTAACAAGTAGCTAATTTGATTTGCAGTCTGTTTTTGTTTTCTTCTTTTTTTAAGAAATAGTATTTTTATATTTCTTCTTTTTTTCTGGGTTTTCTCCTTTACAATACAATTTCTATAGAGTAGTTTATGCCTTATTGTCTTTCGTTTTTAGGGAGTTTCTATTTTTGTAAAAAGTGCTATACTAAGCACATGACATGGAGAAAAAAATACGATATTATGGTAGCAAATTAACAAATAATTTCCCCGGTTTAGTTAAATTGTAACCACAATAAAACTAAATTAACACATGTGAACTAATTAGTAAGTAATTAGTGGCCACAATTGAACTAAAACGAGAGAACAAATGAATAAAATGTGAAAACAAATTAATAAAATGTGGTCACAAATGAATAAGTTATCGGAACAGTAAATTCATTAATTAAAAGCTAAATATTTAATTTGGCAAACACAAAATATAAAGGCCTTTATGCATAAAAAATATAGGAGCTTTTCTATTTAATATATAGTAATGTAATGTATATGAATAAAAAATATATCAATCTTTTTGGAAAATATACATTTTGCACATCCTTAAAGATAAGTATTTTATTATCGTTATTTGTCTTATTTAATGGTACCTTCTCTCTTGGCTTGCTTGTCCAGATTGGAGAGGAGGTTCTGTCTCATCTGTTCATCTCCAGCAAGAGTGAATGTGTAGGACAGCAAGGCGGTCACATAAGTGTTGTCGATGTTACGGGAAGATTCTTTCAGACACGCAAGGCTTTTGGCCACCATGGGATCCTTACAAAGCACACAAAAGACTGGATGAATGTTTTCTTCCTTTATTAGTCACATTATCTCTAACTACTTGACTGATTTTAATTTATCTGTGAATAGAGTCCATCTCTTAGGACCCATAAAGAGGGTTTTACTTACAGTTGCCTGAATGCCTAACTCCAGCAGCGCTGCAGTGATGTACGCAGAGAGAGTGACTTCGTCGTTGACACCACCCTGGGAAAGCAGAAGTAAGGCAAAAACACATTCAGACATGCACGAGTGCATCATCACAGATCATTCCAACCCTCAGAATTGCAATCTCCTCACTTTATTGTCATCTAACAGACATTTCCAAAGTTTGAAATCCAGGACCACCCGACTAAGGAGCAGTTGCCTATCCATAAATGACTCTGCTCCATTAGTCATCTCCTCATCCCCCTCAACACTGTGACAGCTTCTCATTTTGTGTCATCTCAGTTTTTTCCAGTGGTGTGACTAGGGTGTCTAGGTCCCTTGCACTGTTTACTGCCTTGGACCCCCTTTTGCTATTTATTTAATCTGTATGAAGCTCTAAGCATTACTTATTTTGTTCTTTCCTAAGCATCAAGAGATTTTAGATATGCTGCTCCAAACACTATGTATTATTAATAATAATGTTGTAAACTGTTGTGCTGCTTAATATTTTGGTGGAAACTGTGAAACTTTTTTTTTTCCAGGATTCTTTAAAGTAACAGAAACTTCAAAAGACCAGCTCATTATTTTAATCTATTTGTGACATTTTTATGTCTTTACTGTCAATTTCAGTCAATTTAATGCATACTTTCAGAATAAAAGTATACATTTATTTTTTAAAAATGTACTAAACCCAAACTTTTCAACCATAATCACGTTAAGATATAAATTTTTGACTTATATACTTCTTGTAAATGTTAAAACTTGTTTTAAGCTATTTCAAATGCAAAACTAGATCAAATTATATATGTGACCCTGGACCACAAAACCAGTCTTAAGTCGCTGGGGTATATTTGTAGCAATAGCCAAAAATACATTGTATGGGTCAAAATGATAGATTTTTCTTTTATGCCAAAAATCATTAGAATATTAAGTAAAGATCATATTCCATGAAGATATTTTGTAAATTTCCTACTGTAAATATATTAAAACTTAATTTTTGGTTTGTAATATGCATTGCTAAGAGCTTCATTTGGACAACTTTAAAGGTGATTTTAGGAATATTTTGATTTTTTGCACCCTCAGATTTCAGATTTTCGAATAGTTGTATCTCAGCCAAAATACTGTCCTATCCTAACAAACCATACATCAGTGGAAAGCTTATTTATTCCGCTTTCAGATGATGTATAAATCTCAATATTAAAAAATTGACCCTTTTGACTGGTTTTGTGGTCCAGGGTCACACACACACACACACACACACACACACAGACAGACAGTATAATATTAAAGCAACAGGGACCTCAGCTCCCAATAGTCCTCAAGAATTAAGTAGCATGTCTGAACCAGTAAAATCTGAACCAGACTTCAGCTCTCACACATCTACAAACATACACAAACACTCCTGTTTTATAATACATGATAGGCTAATCCCACAATTAGCTCCTCCTGCAAACTGAACGCAAAAGAAAAAAAGCCCTGCCGATACCAATGTTCAGTCCATGTGCACTGTCAACACCTGTCAAATAAAACGTGTTTTATTGACTGGCCAGAATATCCCTGCTAAAACAACAACAACATCTAATCCAGCCTAAACTGGTTTCATCTGGTCTAGCTAAAGCTGCTCTACCTGGTCTTTCATCTGGTTTTCCAGCTTGACCAAGCTAGTCTTTAGCTGGTCTTTCAGCCTGACAATTCGGGAGACCAGTTAGACCAGATAAAACCACATAAAATCAGGACCTAAGAGGATCCTCACCTTCAACATGTTGTTGAAGAGTTTCCCCACAGAGGCGAAGCAGCCGTTGCTCTGCTGTTGGAGACCGAGCCAATCCTTTGCCTGGTCGATGTTGGCCTGATCTATAAATATATACTTCTTTGCCCCACTGAAAGACTTCATCACAAATGCGGTTAACCTGGACACACAAGCAATAGAAACTGCTGTCAAATACACATAATTCAGTAAATCTGCCTTAAAACTTTTCAGTAATTCCATGTGGACTAGGATAAGTTAAGTGACAGAATGATTTCATTTTCTCAGTGCCACACTCACCAGGTGTTACCAGAAGGACCAGTCCTCCCAAAAGCGCTGTAAGATCCATCATCATGCTTGTATGTCAGCTGTCTCTGGTAGCCTGCAAAAAAAAAATAAAAAAAAAAATGAATAATGAAAAGCGGGACACCTGGACCTTTTGTTTTTTTTTACATAAAAATGCAAGTTAATATCATTAAATGTATTTATCAGAGTTCAATATTTCTCTCATTAAATGACAATTTAGCACTTTGAAACTGATCAGTCAAACTGATGAATCTATCAATCAGTCATCAGCTCTGTGGCGAGTTAGTTTGAAAAAACCTTAAACTAATTGTCTGTATGTGTATATATTGCTGCAAGTTTAACTACGAAAATTAAAATAAAATAAAAGCTAAACAGACTGCAAACAGTAATTTTCTAGTTAATATTTTTGCCAGGAATAAAATATTCAAACATTTGTATTTCTAAATAGTATTCTAAATGCTGTACTGTAAGATACACAATAATCATAATTTCATAGCAGTTTTCCTCACCGCTCTCCAGGAAGGTTATGGCTTGGTTTTTAATCTCAGGAGTGAGCTGCCCGCTGCTCTCCAGGTACTGAAGGATGTAGATATTGGGGGCAAAACGCAGCATGTTCTGCTCTCCACAGCCATACGGCATAGCCAACAGATCACCGATGTTCTTCAGAGCACGACCCATCAGATCACCTATGGTCAAAAAAGCAATATAACCATCAGTATGAATAAAAACCAAAAACTACTCAATGAGAGCAATTCTATTGATTACAGAGTATTATAATTATATCATTATACTTGCCAGCATATTTTAGGCTTACCTAGAACAGTGACAAAGCTTTTGGCAGAACCCTTGACAAAGACTTTGGGCAGAGTGAGAGAGACGGATGTCTCATGTGGACGGTCTAATGGAACAGAGAAAAAAGCGTCAGGTAAAAGTCATAATGTACTTTAGCATGGAAAATCGTTTTCTTTATCTGTGAATACTACACAGGGTTTAAAAACTGGAATTGGAAGATTTTTTGTTAAAGCCTTTTTGAAATGTTGAGTAAATTTATCATTTATCCAGTGCAATACCTTGCATCATAAACTTCCAGTGTAAATGAATGTCAAAATTATTGTCTGTGGTATGTGGTAAATGACATGTTAGCTTCTGTTAAAGCTGAAATAGTTGAAATTCTTTATTTATTCTTCTTTTAATAGACAACACACTGTAATTCCACAAACCTGTTAAGCAGATGAGTTCATTCTGAGTGACTGACTGTTTGGTTCCCTCCGCCTGAGAAATGCGAGTGATAACAGTGTCAATTGTATTTTTAAAGCAAAGCAAAGCAAAACAAAAAGCACATTTATAGATAGATAGATTTTAAGACTAAACAAAAATACCCAAATAGCTATAAATAGCTATATTAAATGGCTATGTTAGCTATATAAAAAAGTGTTTTTTTCTTTTGAATACTTTGCACTATTTCAACACAGTTATGACCAGAAATGTGTATTAAGAAAGTAATTATAGTACGTTTTTATTCCCTGTTGACTTGTTAGCTTATTGTTATTGAAGAGCGAGTCACATAGTTTCTGAAAGCTCACATACAGTTACATACAGTCACGTACCTCCACCAGAACGCTCTGCATCACAGTATCAGTTCTGCCTTTGTCTGGCCATGTCACCACTTCATTGCCACACAGTTCTCGGCTCTGCACCGCCCCAGCGTGCACTATAATATTCACCTTTCCTGTAAAATACACACACACACACACACCAATCTTTAAATGCAATATATTTAACTTGCAATAGTTCCACTTCAGCACAATCAAATATACTTCAGCTAAATATACTACTACTTCCGCACAATTAAAGTGCATTTAGAAATGAGTTGTTCCAATTTAGCAGACTTTATACCAATTCAGTATAGCAAAAGTACAATTGCAGGGTATTTTGTATTACGCACATAAATATGTAAATGTATTTGTAGTATACTTAGCACAAAATAACTGTATTTCAAATAGTATTTTTTTTTCACTAGGGCAGTGACAGTTTGAATTTAATTTACAAAAGAAACAAAGTACCCCTGGGGCCTGCAATAGTAAACAAATCTGTGACAGTCAAGGCAGGACGTGGTTAAAAATACAATTCTGTCATCAGTTACTCACCTCCATGTCTTTTCATGATTGGTTACCAACATTCTTCAGAATATCTTTTGTGTATCAGCAGAAGAAAGACATTCATACAGGTTTGGAACAACATGAGGGTGAGTAAATGATGACAGAATTTTCCTTTTTGGACATTTTTATTCTAAGCGTAATACCACATCCTGGTACAAACGTGATCAGACATAAAATAAGCTTTTCAGCTTAGGGAATCAAATAGAATCTTTGCTCATACAGAAGTTGAAAGTATCTGGCTTACCCAGTTCAGAGGGTGCGACAGTCCACTGGAAGGTTTTGCTCTCTTCAGAACAAACACACTGAGTGTAAGTGCAGCCTCTGCATGGCTGAGCGGTGAACTGTGGTGAGTCTGCCAGCGTGACCTTCACCTTTATTAAAAGATTTGTACAGGAAATGCCTTTACTACAAATGCTTGCAAAACCGCTCCAGGACAAGCAAGTAAATACATTATGGGGGCTTACCATGATACATTTGGGGAGGTAGTTGAACACAGTAGCTTTGAGAGTGAACGTCTCCCCACGAATAACAGAGTAAGGGAGGGTGAGGCTCACAAAGAAGGGCTTGAAAGCAGTGAGATCAGTCTTGGGGGCCACTCCAAACCCGACATGGGATGTGCAGAAAGCCCCTGCTGCCCATTTAGTGATAGTGTCCGGGACCGTCTTTGCAACGTCCACATATCCTGATATCCTGGTCAATGAAAAAAGACGAATTTTGTAGTTTTTTTTTTTTAAGTTTTTCAAATATTAATAAGCTCTGAAGCAGTTGTTACATTTTTTCTGCATAATTAAAAAGGACTGTAATGTAGGCTATACAGTACAGTACTGCCATGGTGCAAGACACATACCCCACAGGTATAAGATCCCATATCCAGGTTTCTGGAAAGAATTTGCGTATCTTCTGAGTACGTTTTTCCCCATTTGGACCAAGCCCCGTCTCTGGCCCGACCAAATCCACACCACCTTCCATAGTAGCTGTTTGAATTTGATAGTTTGTAAATACAATCAGATAAAAAGGGCATTTCCAAATCCTAAAAAAATCAAGTTATACTTACGTTCCTTCATCAACATTGTCTCATAATGATCACAAACAACAGGTGCTTTCACATCAGAGTTGGTAGCGATTTTGATTCCAACGCCCTAGGAAAAAGCAAATGTTACAGTATGTTACTGTGTGTAAGATGAATAGTGTACAGTGAGACACTGGAGGACCTCTGAAATAAGAAATGGGACATGTTGTGTATCTTACTTTGAAGATTTTGTAGACGTCATTGGTGTTGACGTAGTGAGGGTAATAGAAGCGGGAGCGTTTGCTCCTTGCACGTTCAGCAAACGGGATTATCCCCCCGGGATATGGGCAGGGGTTAGGCTCCCACTCCTCAACATTGTGTGGGTAACCAGACAAAATCTGCACTGGTAACATTCCAAGGACCTGTAGAATAATAACAGATATTGAGCCTTAGCAGTGACGAGGCAATTTCCTAATAATCAAAAACAAATCCACCAAGTAAAAATGTATCATATATTTCCGTTGCACCACACGAATTTTGTTTTTCAAAATATTAATAAGCAGTGAAGCAATATTTTTTTGTTAAAATGTTTTTTAAATATTAAAATATTGTTAAAATAAAAATATTTCTAATGTCATGTGGTGAACCTACCAAGTAAACATTTTTAAATATATATTTTCCCGACACCATATGAGTTTTGTTTTTTAAACATGAATAAGCAGTGAACTATGTTGAATTTTCTTTTTCAAACAATAAAATGTTGTATTATTTATTTCTATTATTATTTATAGTATTTCTAAAAATACATGTAGACATTTTTTATTAACAAATTGTGAATCAATTTTGTTTAAATATTTTTTTAAATATTGTTAAAATATTAAATTGTTAACCTACTTCTTAAAAGTTTCTTATTAAAAATTGTATTCTTTTAATCAGGCTTTTTATTTCTTCAATATAATATCAGGACAGTTGTATCACTCTGACATTTTTTACTTCACACTCTGGCATTTTAACTTCATTTTTTACTCCCAAAAAATTATCAAAATGAATATTGATTGTGAAATTAAAAACATGCTTATTATGAAAGAAGCGCATGTAACTCATTTTTGCAAATTACTCAAAATTGATACTTATATAGTGCTACATCCCTGACCCATCTCTTAAAATAAAGATTATCTACTAGTTATAGCTGTAATATACATTATGGTTTAACATACAGAGGCTGCATCCAGCTCGGCCTCTGGTCTCAACAGCAGCACACTCTGATCAATGGCCCGCACGGAGCACAAGGAGCCAGGGCTGGCTTTCAGGTAAAGAGATGTCCTCTCTCCAGGTAGTGCGGTGGGAGACGAGAACTTTAAGGACATCTGTAAAAGCACAGGCACGCTCTCATCACACATTATTAATGATAAAAAAAACACACACATAAAAGCTTAAAGGGCACATTGAGTTCTAAAATAAGATTTCATGTGGGATTGTCTGACCTTGTTTGGCAAACATTCTTCAATGGGGAAATTCATACTGTCTGCTACAGCTTCTCCGTTGGGAAGAACTGTGTAAACCACCACCTGAGCGTGTGGAGTCAGAGATGCCATCTTCTTCAATGTGAATGTCAGCTCTCCTTTGTTTTCTTTTATGAAAGAGAGAGAGCATTTGTGGAAACAAAAAGGTGCATACTGAAGCACAATGTACGCAGACCATAAAAATACACATAGACAATAAGGCAACAAAGTGATTGCTAATGTAAAAGAGCTGTGTACCTTTCGCAGCGTTCACACTCACAGACAGACGACCATTTTGAGCCATGCTGCCTCTGGACAAGACCTGGAGTGCAGGTAGATAATTACTGTGTGACAATTTATGTAATGCATAAACAGCTTCAATAGCATTGAGCATTGTGATTTTTTTCATCATCTTGTCTCCTTTGTGATAATGGCTACAAGATTTAGGAAACCTTCAAGAAAACCACAGATATTAAAATTCTGTCCAGTCCTTGCTAATTATTTTCATATTATGGCAGCAATAAGCTGATATTTATTTTGAGATTTGCTAAAAATGACATTTAACAGAATTATTACATTTGTAGTGTTTTTAAAATTAGGCATTAATATAAATGTAACAACTGGGAAAATGAGCATAATATAATAATACATAATATAAGCTTCCAATATAAACCTACATAGATAATCAAATACATTTTTAATATTGGCTAACAACAAATATGGTACTGGTATATCATGCTTCCTTAAAAAAAAAAAAAAAAGACCAAGCAATTGATGGACAAACAACAACAACAACAAAAAAGAGTGTCAGTGTTAAACGTACAATGTAGAAGAAATCCAAGGTTTTCTGGCCTGTTTTCAGTGCATTGCCCTGAATGATGTAACTAGCCGTCACTGTTGCATCACTGTTACAGCTGAGCTTCCCTGGAGCCTTCGTCAACATCAGGAAGCTTTTGCTTTTGGAGTGAAAGGGTCTTACGTAGATATAGCTTGATGGGTAATCCTGAGAATCAGTCTGTTCTCCTTTATAATGGACCTAATTAAAAAAAGTTTGAAAATCTATACCCGAATTATATACATAAACATCATGTTAGAAAACAAAAACATGTAAGAGTATACCTGTAATTGCACAGGTTTGTCTGACCAATCCAGAGTGTTGAAGGAGAAGTGGGCAGTACCATTGATGTCTGTCATCAGGGCCACATTGTCACTTTTATCACCATAATTTGCATATACGACCACTAGCTCATTTTTCATTGGTTTGGAAAGTGAATTAGTGACCACACACTGTAAAAAAATTAAAAAAAAAGGTTCACAAACACTTAACACTTCTTGTACACAATATGGCTATGCTAACTGCTAAATGCTTTCACTGCTAAACAGGTTTGTTTATTAATGTTGCATTTTACAAAGTCAGACAAAAATAGCAGTTATGGTACAGTTATGAACTTTTTATGAAGATAGTTATAAAAACACACGTGGACTGTAGAGTTACTTTTGGAGCATTCGTTCAATAATTAGTAGCAAAGCTTATGACTTCAAGCTAGCTGTTACCTTTCCCTTAAAGAGCATGCCAGGCCTGTATGAATCTGGTGTGTCCTCAAAGTTAACATAGACATAACGCCCGGTAAACGTAGCTGAGGTAGAAACCTGCGTAGTTATCCCTGGAGGAACAAAAGACCATCTTTCATTACTCTATTTTGGAGAATACAAATGGACAACAGCCGTTTGTTTTATACTCTCACCTGTTCCAGTCTCTTCCACAACACAATTCACTGTAAAATACCCACTGAAACTAATGCCAAATTCTGTCACATCTATCACCTGAGACCCACAGCCAGTCTTGTCAGTCTGAATGAATAAGAATGAAAAGAAAATGGTTATTTAGACTTCTAAAATACAGTATGTTGCAGTATGGACCCTTGTGAAAAAGTACACTTCGGCATACATGTAATGTTAAAGAAGTACTTATGACAGAAATATATACACTACCAGTCAAAAGCTTTTGAACAGTAAGATTTTTAATGCTTGTTAAAGTCTCCTATGTTCACCAAGCCTGCATTTATTTGATCCAAAATACAGCAAAAGCAGTAATAGTGTGAAATATTTAAAATAACTGCTTTATATTTAATTATATTTTAAAATGTAATTTATTCCTGTGATTTCAAAGCTGAATTTTTAGAATCATTACTCCAGTCACATGATCCTTCAGAAATCATTCTAATTTTCTGATTTGCTGCTCAGGAAAAACAAATAAATACAAATTTTAAATTATCGTTATTATTAAAACAGCTGAGTAGATTTTTTTCAGGTTTCTTTGACGAATAGAAAGTTCAGAAGAACAGCATTTATCTGAAATAGAAATCTTTTGTAACATTATAAATGTCTGTATCATCACTTTTGATCAATTTAACGCAGCCTTGCTAAATAAAAGTATTAATTTCAATCATTTATTTTCCAAAAATTCAATTACCCCCCCTATATAGTTTATAAATGCTGAAATTTCAGCTTTGATCACATAAATAAATTACATTTTAAAATATATTCAAATAGAAAGATGTTATTATAAATAGTAAAAATATTTATAATTTATAAAATAAAATAATTTGCTGAATTTTGGATCAAATAAATGCAGGCTTGGTGAGCAGAATAGACTTCTTTAAAAAACATGAAAAAATCCTACTGTTCAAAAACTTTTGACTGGTAGTGTAAATGTACTTTATATAACCCTAATTCCAAAAAGTTGGGACGCTGTGTAAAAGTAAATAAAAAATAGCATTCTGTTTTTACTTAAATTTTACACAGCATCCCAACTTATTTGGAATTGGAGTTGTAAGAATACACTTAAGTGCAAACTGAATGTAATGTATTCGGACACTTAATTGCATGTTAATTGCAATTAAATGAAATGATGAATGTTTTATAGTTTCAGTTATTATTTTCAAAAAATATATATATTAAAAAAAGTGTTTTTACCCACTAAGTAAGAGTGAAGTACATTGTTATATGTAATTTCTTAATTACTTCTGTTGTCTTTTAAATATGGTTAAAGACTTTACTTTAACATTTTAACTTGAAGTGTACTGCCAAAAGCCCCGACAAGCATTATGGAAGTTGCCTAAATGCGATTTGAATAAGGGTCCTAAACAACAGTGGCACATAATGAGTACCCCTAAAATATATACACTTTAAGTGCTATATTGAATACTACAATACAGTGATATCAGATCATTGTTATTTCTTGTAATTGGGACCCTATGATATTTAAAGATGCTTATTAGTACAGTGTTTTTTAGGATTACAAACCCAAAAGGTAACAGTTTTGTGTGTGCAAAAGGGTAACGCACCATCATTGAATATTTCTTGCATATTTTTAACAAGTCAGGAGCAGGTCTCCTCGCATAGTTATCATAGCTGTGCCCACACACTTCAGCATTCACAGACCCCAGCACAGGCTTGCCATAAGTGTATCTAAAGACAATGAAAAAAAGTATTTCATCAGGCTGAACATGGTACTGTAACACAGGTATGCATCTCATTTATCTGCAAAGAAATGAACATTATTTGTAAAAAAAAAAGAAAAAAGAATCGTACTTTGCACAAACTTTCAGAGTGACCTTATTGTCCTGGGACGTTATAACAGATGGAAAATCGATGTTCACTTCATATTTTGGCAGAACTAAAAGAGACATGTGGGGAAAAATACTTTCAAACATTGTAGCTGATCAGTATTGGACTGACAAAAGTTAAATCCTGGTTCTGACCATATTCTTTGATTTCAAAGGTGTGTGATATTTGTTGGTTCTTATCATCCCAAGCAGTGATCGTGTAGAAACCCTGAGCAGCTTCTGGAGACATGGAGTGGGACAGATCCAAAATGCCAATCCTTGTGGCCTGATTCAACCACTGACCAATGCGATTTGAATAAGGGTCCTAAACAAGAGTGGCACATAATGAAAAAGCCTACAGTGAAATCAACCTGCATTTAAGTAAAGTAACAAACAATGAACAGATCATGGCTTCTTCAAGGATTTTACCTGGAGTTCTACAGTTCGAAACTGCAAGAGTAAGACAGAAGAAAATGAGTTTAGTTAGATCAAAAGAATATAAATATATTTTGCCAGCACTTCAACTGAAAAAAAATAAAATAAAGAATTTTCACGTAAATTTAATTAAATTTACCACTTGATTGTGAGGCAAGAGACCGGAATCCAGAGACACAATGCGAAATTTAACTGGGGGAGAAAGAAATTGAGACACAATATTAACACATACAGTACCTATGCAATGTGGAAAGACTCGCAGGCTCGCATTAATAAGAACAAACGAGCACTGACAACTTTAACTGTTTTGGAAGAATTTACAAAGACATTACTTGTTTGTCCAGGCTTATAGATAGGCTTGTCTGATTGGATGAAAAGAAGATTTTGGGGGGGTTTTATGAGGATCTGAGTGGTTTTCTTCAGGGATGTTTCGGCCCCTTGGATTGCAACATTGACGGATGCCACAGACTCTACAGTGACTACAGGGACCTGAAAAATGCAAATCAAGAAAATATTGAGCGTATAACTCCACTTACAGACTGCAGACTATAGGTTTGAAAGCAACATCAAGACTACAGTGTGATCGCTGTACAATTCAGTAGTGGAAAATATATGCAAGATGAATGATAAATGTAAGTTTTAGGGTTTTACTTGCAAATTAATATGTCTTATTATGGAAAGGCCCTTTAACCTTAATGGCACGTTATTTATGTTACAATACGCTTTAAATAAATATAATAACCAAATTTATATTTTACTTTTTGACTACCAGTCAACAGTTTAGAATAATAATGATTTTTAATGTTTTTGAAAGAAGTCTCAAAGTCAGCAAGGCTGCACTTATTTGATCAAAAATATAGTAAAAACAGTAATATTATGAAATAGTATTATAATTTAAAATAACTATTTCTATTTTAAAATGTCATTTATTCCTTTGAAGGTGAATTTTCAGAAGCTATTACTGCAGTCTTCAGTGTCACACGATCCTTCACAAATAAAAAATTATTAAAACTATTAAAAATAGTTCCTAGTATCAAAGTTCAAAACAGATTTTGCTAATTAATATTTTTGTGAAAAAAACATGATGCTTTTTTCAGGATTCTTAAATGAGCAGAAAGTTAAAAAGAGCAACATTTAATGGACATAGAAATCTTCTAACATAATAAATGACACTTTTGATCAACTTAATTTGTCCTTGCTGAATAGAAGTATTATTGTTTAATCCTGCTGAAAATTCAATTTGCCATCAAAATAATAAATTAAAATATATTTAAATATAAAACATATATTAAATTGTAATAATATTTCACAATATTATAGTTTTTTTATCTGAAATTTTGATGCAGTCTTGGTGGGCAAACTAATAAAGGTAAAGTTTTATCATTTATTGGGCATTCCCAGAATTCCCCGCACATACCGTGACATTTGATTCTATTTTGTATTTGTAGTTATTAGTTTAGCATTAATTAGTGCTATGTGTGATTCTGATGCTGTTTTGTGTTTGTATGCAGGGGTAGACTGGGGCTAAAAAGTGGCCCTGGACTTTCTGGCACAGAGCAGCCCACCACACCATAAACCCACCAGCTCGAGTAATTTTTAACACCACTAACTAACATAAAAATATAACACAATACAGAAATAAAAATGCCATCGTTTTTTTCTTCTTTTTTTAATTGAAATTCTTATCATGAACATCAATGAATGACATTACAATTTGTCTTTCCTGCTTTATATAACAAATATTAAATAATTTAGAATAATTTTTACACATCTCTTAGAGGGACAGTTTAATATATCAGGTTAGGTTAAATGCCTACCATAATATCAGTCCATATGACACAATGCTTGCTCTGCTCTAGAAGACTTGGAATGTAGTGCAGAATGTGGACTGTTTTTATGGTGCCTTTCTATTGGTCCTTCAGAAATCATTTTAATATGCTGATTTGCTGCTCAAGAAACATTTCTGATTATTATCGATGTTGAAAATAGTTGTGCTGCTTCATAGTTTTGTGGTACATTACCATTCAGTCTAGGGTAAGATTTAAAAAATATATAAATTAATTAATTATTTGTTTAATTATTTAATCATTAATTTAATTATTCAACAAGGTTGCATTAAATTGATTTAAGTGACAGTAAAGACATTTATACTTATTACAAATTATTTCTATTTCAAATAAATAATGTTTATTTTACTTTTTGTATTTTTTTTTTGTATAATCCTGAAAAATTAAAGTATCACAGTTTCCAAAAAAAAAATAAAACAGTTTTCAGTATTGATAATAATAAGAACCATTAGTAATAATTGATCACAAATAATAACTGATTCACCATGTTTACTATGGTAATGGATAGTGCATAGTCTTTTGCATCACTTATAAATAGTTCTGCCTTGTCTGGTGATCATAATCCACATCGGATCTCAAACTTCAAACACTGGCTGCTGTCTGAAAGTGAGTTTTGAGCTAAAATTATTTCAAAAGTCTTTAATTCTGGTGTTATAGCTCTTAACTATTTGAAATAATCTGCAGCGCTGTTGCTTTCCAGACGCGGATAAACTCTGCCTTGGTTCATAGCCACTCTTCATGCCCGAGCTGGCCCGCTTTGGCCCAAGGTTTTCGGCGGGCCAAAAAAACCTGGCTGTTGACCCCAAGGAAGCCCCAACGAGGCACGATCAAGCCCCGGAAGGGACAGTGGAAACGCAGCTGGCTCTGGCACGCACTAGCATGCCCGCTTTTGGCCTAGCATTGGAAAACGCGGCTAATGTGCTGTCTCTTTATGTTTTTATTGTTGTTGAATAGGCCAATATTGCTTTAACTCACAGATGTAATAGCTGAAACGGCATATTTTAGTATAATATTACTTAATGTAAAATACGGTCACCAAAATTCTTCCCATAATGCTTGCAACATCATCACTGTGTCTCTCTTCCAGTAAGTATTCACCGCAAATCAGTCGGTGCCAATAGCCTCTTGAGCAGCGCACTGAAAACACAGCGCCATTGCTTGTCGGGAGTCCCGAGTTCGAGTCCAGACTGTCATGATAATTTCAATTTAAAAAATGGCAAAAATAAATAAAAATTTTTTTTTACCTCAAATCTAAAATAAAATGTTTACAGTGTGTTGCATGTGAGAACACAAAAATACGCTTGTCCTAAACTTTACATCAGTGTCTACTATAGTTGTGGAAGACATTCGTCTGGTCCTCGACCTGCGGTTTTCCTTGTTACTCTCTACCTAGTGTTATCTGGTATTTGTGAAGATAATAATCATAAAGGCTCTTACGGATCGGTGGCTCCACTCGTTTCAGAGCATTGCAGCATCAGCAGCAGTGGCAGTGGCAGCAGTGACAGCAGCATCCTGTGAAGTCAGTCCAGCACATGCGCAGAGAACTCGAATACTGATCCCATCACACAGGAGCGCACTCTTATACACCTCTGCCTCCTCCCTGTCCTACCACACCAAGGGAAGGAATGTTGAGCAACTGGTATGAGGAGCTGGATAATTTGTGATCAACATATTTCCTCCTGTGCTGTGTAACAAGTAAGTGGACAGTAATTCACTTTCAGTGAAAGTTCAAAGTTCAAAGAGGCCGAAAGAGTTTCACCTTTTGCAAAAAGTTCAAAGAGACTGAATAAAGGAGTTCACCTTTTGCAAAGATTACTTTGACAAACAAGCTAATCATTCAAGTTATTTGACAGTTACGATTTTTTTTTTCATTGCAAACAATAAATACCATAAAATAAAATAAATGACAGTCACAATAAAAGTCTTGGAAACTTTTTTTTAAGGTAGTCACTATTTATTTCAATTACTTTTAATCCTTGTTTCTCAAGCATCTTAAACTATTAAAATCCATACTAAAATATTGTTATAGTTTAAAAACTATGATAAATTATACAATAAAAGGAAACAATAAATCAAATTATTAAATGAAAATAAATTAAATGAAGGTCACATTAAAAGTCTCTGAATCTTTTTTTATCAGGCAGTCATGATTTATTTCATGACTTAACCTTTGTGTGACACCCCTGGACTGTCTGTGAGTGTTTTTGTCCCCATGTGCTCCCCGTGACCCAGTTTCTCCCTTGTTTGATTGTGTTCATTTGATTCAGGTGTGTCTCGTCTATTACCCTCATTTAGTTTAGTATATAAAGTGTTGTCTGTTCTATGGTTCTTTTGTCCAGTGTTAAACGTCAAGTGGTGCTACGTGTGTCTCCTGTCTGCCTGTGTTTCCCCTTGGATGTTTATTAAAGACTGTTGTTTGAGATTATCCCTCGTCTCCACGTTCCTTCGCTCCTACACAGTAAGCAACCGTGACACCTTGTTTTCATACTTTTAAAATTCATTATGCAAATATTGTTATATTTTGAAAGCTACTATAAACTTTTAAAAAGTAAATAAATAAAATGAATAAGTGAGGCTGTGAAAATATCTATGGACATTTTCTCATGTCAGGTAAATGTGTGTATATATAATGTTCAATATATTATTCAACATCTGCATTTCTTACATATATATAAAGCTTGTGTTTGTAAAATGGCACAGCTTTTTAAATATCTGAAATTAGGATTACAAACCCAAAAGGTAACAGTTTTGTGTGTGCAAAAGGGTAACGCACCATCATTGAATATTTCTTGCATATTTTTAACAAGTCAGGAGCAGGTCTCCTCGCATAGTTATCATAGCTGTGCCCACACACTTCAGCATTCACAGACCCCAGCACAGGCTTGCCATAAGTGTATCTAAAGACAATGAAAAAAAGTATTTCATCAGGCTGAACATGGTACTGTAACACAGGTATGCATCTCATTTATCTGCAAAGAAATGAACATTATTTGTAAAAAAAAAAGAAAAAAGAATCGTACTTTGCACAAACTTTCAGAGTGACCTTATTGTCCTGGGACGTTATAACAGATGGAAAATCGATGTTCACTTCATATTTTGGCAGAACTAAAAGAGACATGTGGGGAAAAATACTTTCAAACATTGTAGCTGATCAGTATTGGACTGACAAAAGTTAAATCCTGGTTCTGACCATATTCTTTGATTTCAAAGGTGTGTGATATTTGTTGGTTCTTATCATCCCAAGCAGTGATCGTGTAGAAACCCTGAGCAGCTTCTGGAGACATGGAGTGGGACAGATCCAAAATGCCAATCCTTGTGGCCTGATTCAACCACTGACCAATGCGATTTGAATAAGGGTCCTAAACAAGAGTGGCACATAATGAAAAAGCCTACAGTGAAATCAACCTGCATTTAAGTAAAGTAACAAACAATGAACAGATCATGGCTTCTTCAAGGATTTTACCTGGAGTTCTACAGTTCGAAACTGCAAGAGTAAGACAGAAGAAAATGAGTTTAGTTAGATCAAAAGAATATAAATATATTTTGCCAGCACTTCAACTGAAAAAAAATAAAATAAAGAATTTTCACGTAAATTTAATTAAATTTACCACTTGATTGTGAGGCAAGAGACCGGAATCCAGAGACACAATGCGAAATTTAACTGGGGGAGAAAGAAATTGAGACACAATATTAACACATACAGTACCTATGCAATGTGGAAAGACTCGCAGGCTCGCATTAATAAGAACAAACGAGCACTGACAACTTTAACTGTTTTGGAAGAATTTACAAAGACATTACTTGTTTGTCCAGGCTTATAGATAGGCTTGTCTGATTGGATGAAAAGAAGATTTTGGGGGGGTTTTATGAGGATCTGAGTGGTTTTCTTCAGGGATGTTTCGGCCCCTTGGATTGCAACATTGACGGATGCCACAGACTCTACAGTGACTACAGGGACCTGAAAAATGCAAATCAAGAAAATATTGAGCGTATAACTCCACTTACAGACTGCAGACTATAGGTTTGAAAGCAACATCAAGACTACAGTGTGATCGCTGTACAATTCAGTAGTGGAAAATATATGCAAGATGAATGATAAATGTAAGTTTTAGGGTTTTACTTGCAAATTAATATGTCTTATTATGGAAAGGCCCTTTAACCTTAATGGCACGTTATACATTTTGTGCACACATGTATAGGAAAGAGCTATGCGACAGTATATTGAGTACACTGACCTTAAAAGGAACACATTTGTAGAAATCATTTTTAATGAAGCCCTGTTGTAGAATGGTCAGATCGAGATTGTTAGTCCTCAAAGTCACCACTATAGAAAGTGTCTCTTTGGGCTCATGGATATGCACACAGAGAGTCTCTGTGTTGCCACCCACCGCCTGGGATGTGACTGTCACCAGGTAAATGCTGAAAGAAGACAAAACACATTCAGAGACTTGCATAAACCATCCAATGACAATAAAATGGTTTTAAAAGCATAAGTTTAGTGTTGCATGAGGCTAGGGTTGTTTTGGGTTAATACACAGTTGAGGAAGTGACTTGTAATTTATATGAATGTGTCTGGAATGTTTGTAAAATGGCACAGCTTTTTAAATATCTGAAAGTACACTCTTCACATCAGTCAGTCAAGCATTAGAATATGATATTATAATAATCAAGCATTATTTAATGATAGAATATTTGTAATTAGAATTAAAACTTGGTAACCATGTATGAATGCGTATTTGTCATTTTAACTGAACTTATGAATGGGGGTGTTGCTTAAAATATTGTTGGTCATTCAGTGTTTCTGTAAAAAAATAGGGGGGAAAAACTAAAAATAATACTGATAACTGATAAGATAATAATACTAATAGCTACTACGAACTCTACTACTTATAACCATATAAAACGCACTAAGGATTAATGAGCTGCTGAGTTCATGAATGTTAATCATGTTGTCTGCATGTGTTTGAACTGATTTGCCGAAATCAAAACAGGGACAATAATAGGTGACCGCCAGCCAATGAGATTGGTGCAGTATCTTAGTTGTTCTTAAAAGCTGAAGAATTCCAAATGAACTCAAAGAAAATTGTTTACATGTAGTGCATCAATTCTGCATGATATGTGACTATCTCTTTCTATGTGTGTATAATAAACAGTGCTCTCAGCAAAGTGATGGTAAGTCGTGTGCTTTCACACGGTTTGATCTACGTTAGTTTGGTTAGTTTGGTTGATGATAACTCACCATTTTCATACTTCGGCTATTTGGTTGTTTCTTTTCTATGTTTTTGAAGATGACAGAAATTGTTAATCACAGCAGGAAAGCTGATTTAGAAGGCTTGCCTTTGTTTCTTCGAGAAGACCCAACCAAGCTATTCAAGAAATGTAAAGTATGTACCAAAAACTTCAAAAACCTCAAAGTAGGGGTGTCCAAACTGCTTCTCCAAGGCCAATGCCCTGCAGCAGAGTGGCTCCAACCTACCTGGAAATTCTGGTAATACTGAAGACCTTGATTAGCAGGTTAAGATGTTTAACCCCCTGAGGTCGGCCAACGTGTTTTGTGACATTTTTTCCAGATAACGCCAAATAGAACTTAAATTACTCCATAACGTTTGATCGTACAGATAAGAGCAATACATCATTTGAATCTTAAAAAGGGTCTACATTTATTTCTATACACTCCTAATAACAACAAAATACTGTGCTTTTGTTTAGTTTCTTAAAAGGATAGTTCACCCAAAAATGAAAATTCGGTCATTAATTATTCCCCTCATGTAGTGTAAAAAAAATGTAATTTATTCCTTTGATTGCAAAGGTGAATTTTCAGAAGCTATTTCTGCAGTTTTCAGTGTCACGTGATCTTTTACAAATCATTCTAATATGTGGATATTGGTCAAAGTTTATTCATTATTATTGGTGCTCAATTATTAACAATAGTTCCTAGTATCAAAGTTCAAAACAGATTTTGCTAATTAATATTTTTGTGAAAAACATGATGCTTTTTTCAGGATTCTTAAATGAGCAGAAAGTTCAAAAGAGCAGCATTTAATGGAAATAGAAATCTTCTAACATAATAAATGACACTTTTGATCAACTTAATTTGTCCTTGCTGAATAGAAGTATTATTGCTTAATCCTGCCGAAAATTCAATTTGCCATCAAAATAATAAATGAAAATATATTCAAATAGAAAACATCTATTAAATTGCAATAATATTTCACAATATTATCTTTTTTTATCTGAATTTTTGATGCAGTCTTGGTGAGCAAACTAATAAAGGTAAAGTTTTATCAGTTATTGGGCATTCCCAGAATTCCCCGCACATGCCGTGACATTTGATTCTATTTTGTATTTGTAGTTATTAGTTTAGCATTAATTAGTGCTATGTGTGATTCTGATGCTGTTTTGTGTTTGTATGCAGGGGTAGACTGGGGCTAAAAAGTGGCCCTGGACTTTCTGGCACAGAGCAGCCCACCACACCATAAACCCACCAGCTCGAGCAATTTTTAACACCACTAACTAACATAAAAATATAACACAATACAGAAATAAAAATGCCATCATTTTTTTCTTCTTTTTTTAATTGAAATTCTTATCATTAACATCAATGAATGACTGACATATTTCTTTACATTACAATTTGTCTTTCCTGCTTTATATAACAAATAGTAAATAATTTAGAATAATTTTTACACATCTCTTAGAGGGACAGTTTAATATATCACTAAGGTTAAATGCCTACCATAATATCAGTCCATATGACACAATGCTTGCTCTGCTCTAGAAGACTTGGAATGTAGTGCAGAATGTGGACTGTTTTTATGGTGCCTTTCTATTGGTCCTTCAGAAATCATTTTAATATGCTGATTTGCTGCTCAAGAAACATTTCTGATTATTATCGATGTTGAAAATAGTTGTGCTGCTTCATATTTTTGTGGTACATTACCATTCAGTCTAGGGTAAGATTTAAAAAATATATATAAATAAATTATTTATTTAATTAATTATTTAATTATTAATTTAATTATTCAACAAGGTTGCATTAAATTGATTTAAGTGACAGTAAAGACATTTATACTTATTATAAATTATTTATATTTCAAATAAATGCTTTTTTTTTTTTTTTACTTTTTGTATTTGTCAAATAATCCTGAAAAAATTAAAATATCACAGTTTCCAAAAAAATATTAAGCAAAAACAGTTTTCAGTATTGATAATAATAAGAACCATTAGTAATAACTGATCACAAATAATAACTGATTCACCATGTTTACTATGGTAATGGATAGTGCATAGTCTTTTGCATCACTTATAAATAGTTCTGCCTTGTCTGGTGATCATAATCCACATCGGATCTCAAACTTCAAACACTGGCTGCTGTCTGAAAGTGAGTTTTGAGCTAAAATTATTTCAAAAGTCTTTAATTCTGGTGTTATAGCTGTTAACTATTTGAAATAATCTGCAGCGCTGTTGCTCTCCAGACGCGGATAAACTCTACCTTGGTTCATAGCCACTCTTCATGCCCGAGCTGGCCCGCTTTGGCCCAAGGTTTTCGGCGGGCCAAAAAAACCTGGCCGCTGGCCCCGAGGAAGCCCCGACGAGGCACGATCAAGCCCCGGAAGTGTCAGTGGAAACACAACTGGCCCTGGCACGCACTAGCATGCCCGCTTTTGGCCCGACATTGGAAAACGCGGCTAATGTGCTGTCTCTTTATGTTTTTATTGTTGTTGAATAGGCCAATATTGCTTTAACTCACAGATGTGATAGCTGAAATGGAATATTTAGTATAATATTATTTAATGTAAAATACGGTCACCAAAATTCTTCCCATAATTCTTGCAACATCATCACTGTGTCTCTCTTCCAGTAAGTATTCACTGCAAATCAGTCGGCGCCAATAGCCTCGTGAGCAGCGCACCGAAAACACAGCGCCATTGCTCGTCGGGCGTCCCGAGTTCGAGTCCCAACTGTCATGATAAATTCAATTATCATTGAATTTAAAAATAAAAATAGGGGGGAAAAACTAAAAATAATACTGATAAGATAATAATACTAATAGCTACTACGAATTCTGCTACTTATAACCATATAAAACGCACTAAGGATTAATGAGCTGCTGAGTTCATGAATGTTAATCATGTTGTCTGCATGTGTTTGAACTGATTTGCCGAAATCAAAACAGGGACAATAATAGGTGACCGCCAGCCAATGAGATTGGTGCAGTATCTTAGTTGTTCTTAAAAGCTGAAGAATTCCAAATGAACTCAAAGAAAATTGTTTACATGTAGCGCATCAATTCTGCATGATATGTAAGAACTGTGTGTTTGAGAAACAGTGCTCTCAGCAAAGTGATGGTCAAGAAGACCCAACCAAGCTATTCAAGAAATGTAAAGTATGTACCAAAAACCTCAAAAGGCTCAAAGTAGGGGTGTCCAAACCTGCTTCTGGAATGCCAATGCCCTGCAGAGTGGCTCCAACCTACCTGGAAATTCTGGTAATACTGAAGACCTTGATTAGCAGGTTAAGATGTTTAACCCCCTGAAGTCGGCAAACGCACCAACACGTTTCGTGACATTTTTTTCCGGATAACGCCAAATAGAACTTAAATTACTCCATAACTTTTGATAAGAGCAATACATAATTTGAATCTTAAAAAGGGTCTACATTTATTTCTATACACTCCTAATAACAACAAAATGCTATTCTTTTGTTTAGTTTCTTAAAGGGATAGTTCACCCAAAAATGAAAATTGGTCATTAATTACTCCCCTCATGTAGTTCCAAACCCATATGACCTTCGTTCATCTTCAGATCACAAATTAAGATATTTTTGATGAAATTCGAGAGCTTTCTGACCCTCCATACAGCAATAATAATAATAATAATAATAAATAGTTGTATTTATATTGCGCCTTTCCAGGGCTCAAGGACGCTTTCCAATGTACATTCAACAAGACAAGAATAACACTGAAAGGGTAGACAATGATGACAAACAATAGTAGAAACAGTAAAAGAGCATTATATAGACGGGGCAACATAGCAGAAAAAAATCAAGCACAACAAATACAAAACTTAAAGGGTTAGTTCACCCAAAAATGAAAATTAGGCTGTCTTTTACTCAACCCCGTGGCATCCTAGGTGTATATGACTATCATCTTTCAGATGAATCCAGTCGGAGTTATATTAAAACTTGTCTTTGATCTTTCAAG